ACAAAATAATTTCTGATTCAACCGCATTAATTGATCAATCTAAACAGTTTTCGTTGAAACCTTCTGCTGCCAGGCCACCAAGATTATACGGCTTACCAAAAATACATAAAGTTGATACACCTCTTCGTCCCATAGTTTCTACTATCAGCTCCCCCACCTACAAACTAGCTCGTTTTTTGTCTGAAATCCTGCGTCCTTTCACTGGAAAGACCACCTCTGCGGTACAAAATTCTACTCACCTGGTATCAACAATCAAGGGTATTTCCCTGTCCCCAGACGACCTGCTTGTCAGTTTTGATGTAGTTTCCTTATTCACCAAGGTTCCTGTACCTGACACCATTGCAATCATTGAAGACTTGGTTCATCAAGGACTAAACACTGAGGTACCCCCCCTGGTGAGACACTGTTTAACCAATACATACTTCACTTGGAATGGAACTTTCTACAAACAAACTGAGGGCACCCCAATGGGCTCCCCCCTTTCTCCAGTTATAGCTAACATTTTCATGGAGAAATTTGAGACTGACGCCATCCAGACTGCCACTCTGCGCCCAACCTTATGGAAGAGGTACGTGGATGACACTTTTGTCATCTGGCCACATGGCCGGCCTGCTCTAGACCAATTCTTCGACCACATCAATTCCATACACCCAGCCATCAGATTTACCATGGAAGTCGAAATAGATGGCAAGATACCTTTTTTGGATGTCCTAATTAAAAAGAGACCTGATGGTTCAATGAGCCACTCTGTCTACAGGAAAGCTACCCATACGGATGCTTATCTGAAACCGGATTCCCACCACCATCCATCACAGAAGAATTCTCTCATCAAGACTCTGTATCATAGAGCCCAATGCATATCCGACCAGGAACACATAAGCAGTGAACTCAAGCACGTACACCAAGCTCTTAGGGCTAATGGTTACTCCGACTATACAATCCGCAAAGCTATCACTCAAACCATGAAGAAGAACCCTCTTGAGGAGCCTTTCAAAACCATCACTTTACCCTACATTGCTGGGATCACAAAAAAGATCTCCAAAATCTTGAATAAACACAAGATCCAGGTCCGTTTCAACACATTACATAAAATCCGTGATCTGGTTCCGTCTGTAAAAGATGTGATTCCGGACATACAATACCCTGGTGTCTACAAACTAAGTTGCCTCTGTGGTAGTAGTTACATTGGAGAAACCAAACGCCATATCTCGGACCGCATTCGTGAACATAAAGCAGACCTTAAACACGGTAGGACCAACACCTCGGCCGTAGCAGATCATTGTTCTATTTCAGTAGGCTCACATGCCATTGACTTTTCCAAGACGGAGGTTCTTTGTAAGCCATCTGGCTTCCATGAGAGATTCGTTCATGAGGCTATCCACATATACAAACACAGAGACAATTTCAACCGAGAAGATGGATTTTATCTTAGCAATCATTGTAAAGATTTGATAAATCATTTCAGTTCTTGATTGATTGTTCACGCTTACAGTGGCTTTCAGACAGCATACATAAAAACAAATTTCGTCTCCCCCCTCCTCTTTTAAAAAAAAAAATAGATGGACTAGTCCTGGCAAACAGCCAATCGTTGCGCGTGACGCAAACGTTATTTTTATATATATAAATAAATAACTATGCCGTTTTCAAAATAAATTTATGCAAACCGACACACCTGATGATGACCGTTTGAGTTATGGTCGAAACGTCGTGAGAATTTTTTTTTATTGTTTTATATATATTTTGTTATTTTGTTGTTTCTCTTCAACGTGACTTTATCGAAAAAACTAAGAATATCTCAACACCTGTTTTGTTGCCAGAAAAAAACGGGAAAACCTATTCTCAGAGGTTTTTTTGTGCGAGATCTCGTGAATATAAATGTGTCATTAAACTCGCCACCACTACTGATTAAGGCTGCATCATTACTATCTGCCCTCCCTTCTCTTGCTGTTCACATTACCCTTACACATTTAGGTATTTGCGTTTAGATTTTTTGTCTGCTTTACATTTCAATATGATAAACCACTTTGTTGGGCTTTCATTTGTGTCGAGGTCGCTTCTGAAAAAGAGTTAATAGCTCAGTGGGTGTTTCCTGGTGCATATTTATTACAGTAAAAGGCAGATTCGTTTAATTTTTATCATCAAGGTTATTAGAATAAATACATTCATCCTGTTATTTTTGTGTTTGGCTTCAAACACAATTAGGGTATGTTGAATGTATTGCTATTTTGAACATTCCAACTCAAATAAACATTCCTTGAAATCAAGGCATGTGCTGTGAAGCTGCTGTAATGCCACTGCCCTTGAGCTGCACGGCTTCTCCACCAGCGGCGGCAGTGAAGCTGGGGCCAAAGACTGGACAGGCCGTCTCGTGCCAAAAGCATAGCGGGTGGACGAGCGAGCCGCCTACCAGCCGAACCCATCCCCACTTGCCCCTGCACAGCACAACCACAGGGGACTGGCCCCATCATAAATTGACATCCACCATGAGACCATCTCCACCTGGTTTTATCCCAGGCGACCTAACTAGATACAATGCGAGGTTTCCATGGATGAGCTTGGGTGGAAGAAATGCCAATGGGGACTTGTAGGTCTTATTTTTACCTGGATTAAAGGCCTTAGGTTGTACAGAGATCATCGTCAGCATCAGTGGTCCCTGGTTCCTATGCGTCAGAATGAACCCTGTCTCACCAACGTACGATGAAAATGTTTCAAGCGATTCACGCTTCAACTGACATACCGACTCACCTCTTCCATCATCACGACATCCACTGTGGCCCAAACAGCTGCGCCAGGACTGTTCAACAGAGATCAACTGGCCGTGAGGAATGGAGGGAGGGCAAAATCAGCACTAAACCAGTTCCTTATCGCGGACACTCCAGTCAGTCAGTGTCCACCTGGCTCTACCCTGCCACGCCAGCAGAGGGCGTTGCTGAACAGGTTATGGCCACAGGGCGAGGTTTCTGTGCAGCCGACCTCTCGTTGGGGTCTTCATGACAACCCACACTGCAGATGTAGTGTACAAACGATGTCGCGTATTGTTGATGACTATCCTGTGACTAGGTTCAACGGATGTCTATAAGAGCTACACATGGATGCTACAGCATGGCTCGGCAATTACTGAATAAACAGGCAGGCAAATTCCGTTTTTTTTTATGAAGATGGTAACTCACGTACTAAGACAACACACATTTGGCGAAACTCAGACACTCAAAACGCAAACATGCACCCAGGTTCCAATCTATAAAAGGGGAATAGCAAAAAAGCTCACCTAGACATTTATAAGACTGCCCACAAAAGGAGTTTTTATATTGGGTGATGGCCCTTCCTTTTTGGAGAGGCCCTCTGGAATGAGGAATGGGTTTTGCATGAAACGTTTCTATTGTACTTATTTCCCTTCATTTCAGAACGGTCATTGTCTAACACGTCGAGTAGTAAATTGTTCTACTCTTTAGGGCAGCGTTATCGACGATTGTGTTTAGTTTTTTTTGTAGTTTTTTTTCTCTCGTATGCACTACCTTTCATTATATATCTATGATAAGCAATATTTGTTTAAATTATAAAGTGGGGTTATATAGGTTACAAAACACTCCCAGTGGAGACTTTATAGGCGTTTAGGGCAAGTACTGTTGGTGAGCCCCCCCGTCTCCCTACGAATGGCAGCACTGCACACGGGGGTGTGGTGTGACAAACACCACTCCCCGTCGTCTTTGCCTTGCGCTTGCAAGTACCGTACTTATCTAACGCTGCGTCAATCTAGGGGATGCACCGATCTGGTTCATATAGTCGCCACTGTTTGCCGGGACCTGGAATCGATCTCGGGACATCGAGTTCATAATAAGTGGATAACATTATATATCTTCAAACACAATATTGTAGCTACAAGTTAGCCCTCCGTGCTGGTGCCTGCAATTATAACGTTCATATTGAGGCCGCGTGTCATGTCGCAGGCTCACCCTGAGGGATATGAATCGTACTGAGAAACAGGCCAGTTTGACTGGTAGGTGCACCAGATTAAATATCGATCCTCTTATTCTAAAACAAGTCATGGTGCTGATTTTGTGCGTTTACAGGGACCCTGCATTTGTGTCAATGCACTGCTGGATGAGGGCCGTAGTTCACCGTGCTGGTAATTGTGGGTCGAAGGTCGGGAGCATAGACGTGTCAGCACTGAACTACAATTCAATCCAGATATTTGCTGCATTTATTTTTACCATCAGGCAAACGTAGTGTGTTACTGGTTGGTATAGGTTAAGGGGATAATTTGTGGGCAGTTTAGGGCACTGCAACAGAATCTGTCTTCACCAACCCGCACTGAACGGCGTGGTAAAGTATGGTTAAATAACGCTTACCACCCACACGATATTGGGCGGCCTTCATCCAGCAGTAGACTGATATCCAACAATAGATTGACATATGCATGCGATAAGTAATAAGTGGTTCTCTACAGCATATTTTACGGCAAGAAAAAAAGACATATAGCAGAAGAAAATGCATTACCTTCATAGTTTGACTTTCATGTTGCCAATCACATGACCAAACTTCTGATTTTTGAAACACAAACAACACTGTGTATATATACACAGACAAGAGACGCACAGAAGCATGGACAGTACGACTACCACATAGACACACAGAGGCAAAGGCTGTACACACACAGACTATACACTATAGGCAAACAGATTACACAAAGATACACCATGTACCCTTAACAGACTGTAGGGCAAGTGCCGTGAGTGAGTAGCAGCAGCGCCTTTGAAGGCCGGCACGGCACACGATGGGGTGGGTGGGCTGTAGCACCTCGCTCGGCCACCTTTGTATCCCTTGTGGCGATGTTCATGACACACTGCAGGAGGTAAATTCATTTGAGGCTGAGTCGACCTAGGGGAGGCCAAAAACAGGTCCATATAATCGCTGTCACTGGTGGTGGTAACTGTGAGCAGGAATCGAACTCGGGATTTGCCGGGTTCGTAGCGCAGCGCTAACGGCACAGACACCACGCCCTAAGCTTGTGGAAGGATGGCTTTATATATCGATGGCATCTCACAACAGAGCCATCACAGCTGAGTATTCCTGATGTATATGAACAATGCTATAATTTTTTTGATGGATGTTTTTGAAGAGTAGATTCCTTCAATACATATTGTTCTATGCATCTTGGCCACAGGTCACATTCAAGGGTGTGTCTCGTGATGTCAATGACGAACTTGAAATTATTTTACTTCCTCTTTCACCGTCGCCATGAGCATTCTTGGTTCAGCGTCTCTCTGAGCCGCAGTCAGAAACTCTCTTTGCGTGAAGCCACAGAATATAAAATTTGTATTTAATTTTGTTTAAACAGGTGAGAACACAACAGGCCAGGACAGTCTCATTTATAAGAAAGACCTGGGTCTCCAAAATGGCAAATGCAACTCCCAATGAGAGTGCAGACAGTGAGCTGCACTGCCCCGTCTGCCTGGACACGTTCGTGTGCCCCTGCACGCTGAGCTGTGGACACTCATTCTGCGTGCGGTGTCTGGAGGCTGCCTGGGAGACAGTGAACAGCTTCAGCTGCCCGCAGTGCCGAGCGATCTTCCCGGTGCGACCCCAGCTGAGGAGGAACGTGGCGCTATCCAACCTGGCGGAGCAGCTCAGAGTTGGAGACAGGATGGCCACGATCACCATGTGTGACGGTAAGACTCTTGCTGTGAAGACCTACTGTGCAAGGCAATTTCAGTGTGGTTTGGAAAATCCCGGGATAAATAACGTTGTCTTGATGGATTGCATTGTGAACCTAGAGGATCAAATGTGCCATCAGCACAGAAAGGAGCAGCTCAAGTTCTATTGTGAACAAGACGAGAGCCTGGCCTGCACAGTCTGCACCATTGCAGGAGACCACTCCGGACACAAGGTCATCGCAGTGGAGACAGCGCAACAGACAAAACAGGTGAAGTGTCATTTTCAGCTGCAATCTATATCGTTACAACAGCTTTGGTTTCATCATAGCTAAACGGGACTTTTCAGCAAGGTTAGAACCGATTGGCACGATTGGTCTCTGAAAGATGAGGATACTGAGCAGTGTGTTCACCTTCCCCACACAGGATATTATCTGCCTGGAGAAGACAAAGAGAGAAAAGAACAAGGAGAAGGTGGTATCATGGACACAGCAGCTCAGGGGCACCTATGCACGTACTCAGGTACAGAGAGAGACACAGACACGTGCAGCTACTGATAGAGACATAGAGAGGTGCAGGTACAGAGAGAGAGACACACAGCTGCGTGTCTGTTCAGATCAGAGAGGGTTTTCTCATCTAAAGTGCGGATGCGTGCTGGTGGACAATTGAGATTTGATACACAAAGGCACAATGTGGTAATGCGCCAGTTCTGGGTTCCCACCACACAAATTCTCATGAGAAGCCACGCATGATGCATCTGCACATCTGCTGGGGAATACGTGGATGAATAAGCTGCTGCCATGCATTCCAGTTTCTGAATAAATACAGGTACACATGTTATCGACAAATGGAAAAACGTAGGTGGACCCTATTACCTCCATAATCTGGAGAAAAAAACACTCATGTTTGTTTTCAAGCTTTCATATTATGTGCTTGTCACCCACCTCCATGTTCAGAGTCGAGAAGTATGGTAATAATTATTAGCTGAATAATGCGACACGGCATTGTTATTCGTGATTCAACAATGCATACTCATTTCTGTCTGTATAGGAATCTCTGCGTGGGACCAAGGAGCGGATCAGCCTAGAGTTTGAGCGCAGGAGGGAGCAGCTAAGTGAGGAGGAGAGGGAGGCTCTGGAGCGCGTGGACGAGGAGGGCCGCTCCGTGCTGTCCCGGATCCAGGCGGACATCGCTCGCTACGAGAGCAGAGCACGGGACCTGGATCAGGAAATCACCCAGCTACTCTCCGCAATCAATGTGCAGGATCCACTTTCCTTCCTCCAGGTGACTTAACTGCTGTTTACTCACAGCTTTTACGACGGATTTTTTCTATGTTTAACTAGGAGATGCTCGACACGTTTTGAGACTGATATGATGTGTATCAATCAGGGTTACTTTATTTGTTACACGGATCATCCCGTTGAGCCAGTTAGCCAACTTACAAGGGAGACCCGTGGTGCGTGAGCACAGCAGCAACAAAGCAAAACATCAACATTGCAGAGAATGAGTACAGGGTCCTTAAGAAATATTGCACAACTAACAAACACGGTATTTATCGGTAGTAAACAAAACACACGCAAATAAATCACAGTGCAAAGGTAATGTGAAAAATGTATGTACAGGCACAAGTAAGCTCTATATTTTAGTCTAACAGTAACATAAACACACCCAAATCTAAAAATGCAGTGCAAATAAGTGGGAGCAAAGGGCGGGGGGGGGGTAGAAAAAGTTAGATACAGGTGCAAGTATGCTGTGTGTTTTGGTTTCACAGAGAATTAAAGAGGGGGAGTGACGGGAGGGAACCAAGCTGTATATGAGGGGCAAGAGCATTTCAGACACGTGGAGTAGGAACGCGATTTTTTTTTTTAACCAAACAAAATTTTAGAAGATGAAGTGGGGAGTTCTATGCACAAATTGGTCCTTTAGGTCATTGCCATATTTGTTTAAGAAGATGTTTAGGATGGATATTAGTCCAGTCACGGACACTGGATATCCAAGCTGGATGGATTCAAGTTAATGTATAGGGTGCAATGATGAGTTCTACAGAGAGGGTCAACGGAAAAACGCAGAGTGGTAAAATTAAGTGAAGTTTTAAGGTAGATTAAGAATCTAGGCAGTAGATAATAATCATCCATGGGGAGGATGGTGGCTTTAACCTGGAGGAAACTGGTGTCGAGAGAAAAATCACACGTTTGCATAATATAAACTACTGGATATGTTTTATACATCTGTAAATTATACCGAATGAATTTTAAATTAATTCTCATGATTAAATCCGGTTCAACTGCATGGCTGTCAGTGCACATCCTTAATTACCAAGATCAGGACCCAAATTCACTCGAGATCTGAACAAACGCTCATGCAGAATTTTGCTGATTGTAATTTCCAGTGAAACATCATATATGTCTTTTCAAAATTTGCTTTGTTTTCAACGCAACTGGCTGGTCAAAAAAATTAATTTCCATTTTTGTCCCATTGATGATTTGATTTAACGCTGAATGATATTATATCCACACGATCTGACTCAACAAAACTAATTAGAAATCATGTCTGGTAAAACGTAATGTAATGGCAGCTCAAATACTGGAGTAATTAAACATTATCTAACCATGTGTAGGGGTGATAGTTACTCACCATTCAACAGCCTGTAGTCCCACTTACCGTCAATAGAGTGCAGAGGCGTTACATCGCCAGGGCAAATGCCATGGATCACAGAGAGGCCACTGGTGGATCCCAGTAAACGGATCCTGGGATACATTCCTCGGGGCCCCGGGTGGGGGGGAACCGGGGGAATGATGTCACCTTAGAGTGTTCCAGAAGGAAGGCGTGGCCAGGGCGGAGGCTGGCCACTAATGGGTAGAAAGCCAGAGCTCTGAGAGCTCTGGCTCAGTTATCTACACGCCGAAGACAGAAGACCGGGCTGGAGAATAGGACCCTGGACCACAAGCTCTACAGTCCTTCTAAGGGCTGGAGCTCAGAGAGGCCAGTGGTCAAGGGAGAATAGGTTCCTGGCAGAGAGGAACCTGGACCCAAGCTCTGCAGTCCTTCTAAGGGCTGGAGCTCAGTGAGGCCAGTGGTCAGGACCCACGGACCAGGAGGTCGGGGTCAGTTAGCCTCCCCTAGGTCCTAGCCGGAGGACGATAGGGAACGGGTGACTAGAGTTAGGTCCCATATAGTTTGGAGGCCATAGTGCCTAGCATACGGGTGAAGGGACCGATATACCCTTCCTGCGAGGGACCCTGTAGTAAAAGACAATAAACAATGTTTGCCTCATAAAGAAGTTTATTCGTCATATTTACAACACTACACATGATTTAAGAGTGGTTTTGTCAGTTCTTAAGGTCTGTCAGTGTCCAGTTTGAAGAGTTTTGTTTAAATAATTGCTGATGTCTATAAATACAGATAAACAGCAGATAACTGTGAAGGTGAGACATCTGCTTTGGATGGAAATTTTAATGTAAAATGTGGGTTTGTGTTTTCAGCATCCCATGCATGAGAAGCTCAGGTCAGTACCAACCCAGACTCAAACTCTAACACTGCCTACCGTGGTGAACTAATCAGTGAATAATCGTGATGTTTTTTTTTTCCTTCTAAATGTCCTTGTATGCATTCAATGTATGCATTCGATGCTGTGTGTCTTATGCTGTCTCTAAGAGGCCCGGACCCTCATGATACGATGTGCATCCCATACTATTTGTGTAGAAAAAACAAGAACTAATGCTATCAGTCAATTATTTTTTTTCTTAACATACCGAGAAACTAACACTATCATGCTTACTCACTAACACACAAAAGGCATAGATACACCACAACCACAACAATCACCATTTACCACGAAGTGGCGGTAATGTCACCACAGTGCTTGTGCCAAGCTATGTGCACTTTAAGGCCATGTGAAGCGTCACACGTCTGCTAGAAGGAGGTGAAGGGACAGACCCAGGTGCCATGGGATGACTGACTTAGATGACTGGCAGGTGCACCACCTGTGCCCCCTACTGTGTCAACTTGCTGTGTTTTTGTACCTGGGGCTTCGGTAATTATTGTGAGTGTCACTCCTCTGCCGTCCATTCTTGTTGGAGGATGACTGCCTTCAACTGCCCAGTAGCATCCTTCATGAGCTTTCTCTAAAGAGGCCGATCTTGATACTGCTGGTATCAGTCATTGGAAAGTCTACTCAGCTCCATATCCTCTTGTACTACATCATTCTATCTCTTCTCCAGCCCGTTTTGTGCCCATTTAGCCCCCTCTATTGGGCCGAACAAAAGCTATTTGGGCATGTAGTGGCTGGGCATGCGGGCTACATGACCCAGCTAATGCAGCCTTGCCAACCAGAGGAGCTCACCGATGGACCTATGTCCAGATATTTCAAGGATTTGTGAGCTCTTCACAAATCCAGTCTGGTTAAACCAAGGATTGATAGTAGGCAGGCCAGCCGGGATTATTCTTACCGGGAAAGAAGTTCCAATAGGGTGGGGTCCACTTTTTGTAAGCATAGAGAAGGGAAGGCATTGCTCTAGCTGAAAAGAACCAAAGTTTCGTGTGGGGTGACAGACCAGGCAGCTTCTACACACCCTCATTCAGCCGATGAAAAGTTACTGCTGCTCAACTGATTCGGAGTGAAATCTTTGCTGTCAATCCAGAGCTGGTTATAAGCACACTGCCTAGGTATGGATGCCTTTTTACTCTATCCAGAACTGCCCCATCAGCAATACGGAGTTAATGAGGTGGAGAGTGTTTGATGACACAATATACCCAGACAGATGAGGCGAGGGTACATTGGCTGAGTCATGTAGCCCACATGTCCAGCTATTGCATGCCCAGGAAGTTTATGTTTGACCAGATAGAGGGGGCTAATCGACCCTGGCAAGGGCTAGAGAAAATATGGGCAGATGTGGTACAGAAGGTTGTGGAGCTGATTTGACTTGATAATGACCTGGCCAGCAGTGTCAAGATCGACCTCTATGGACAAGGCTTATGAAGGATGCTAGAGGGACGTTGGAGGCATTCGCCTTCCAGCAAGAATGGAGGGCAGAGAAGCGATGCTCACAACATCTGAGTGGAGCGCAGGGCGAATTAAAAGCAGAAAGTTGACAGTCATGATCAAACGTGGTGCATCTACCAGTAATCTCAGTTTTGTCAAACCATGGCAACTGGGTCTGTTGCATGACCTGCCAGCAAACCTTCGACAACACGTGGCCTCAAGGTATACCTAGCCGGGCACAAGTCCATGGTGCCATCTCCACCAATGTAATGGCAAACAGTGGATGTTGTTGTTTTGATAATCTGAAATCATCTTTCAAGTGGTCCCTTGTTAGACTCGGTGTGTCTTGTGCTGTGAGTGCAGGAGCTCGGTTTCTCAGGATGATCCTGCTCCAGTCTCTCGCCACCTGGACTTGGCAAAGGTCATCTCAGTTGGAGGCATCAAAACGAATCTCCTGGCTGTTTTGTGTAGGTCTTTCTCCTGCAATCGTCTGTTTTCCTGCTTTCATTACAATCAGAGTGGTTAAGATAGCACTCCTAGGTAGGCTGGTGTCTTCGTGAAACCAGGTGTGAACGCATTTGGAATATCTGCTTTTGTAAGGGAAAACTATGACAAATTCAATCAGTGCAACAGGCCCAAGGGCACAGAATGAAATATAGTAAATGGCAATGACTTGGTCCTCAAACGACAAGAGGTGCAAAAAGCATGTAGACATTCGTTGCTTGAATGCAAAAGGTAACTTTGTAAGCTGTAAATCAATAACGTCCGTATCACATTCATTAGCCCTCTTGTGGCGCTTATCGTAGTGAGAACATGTTTATGTCACGTGTTGCAAATATGCAAAACAAGATTACGTGGTTATTGTAAAGGCATGCAAGTCTCACACTGCAGAACTTGAGCAATTTGGGCGAATTGGTAGTAAACTATTGAAATAAAAAGGAGAGCGGAATGGATGCTGAAACCAATTGCATCACAGCATATCAACCTTCAAAAGCAGAACTCAGGGGGCAACATAACAAATGTACAGCCCTTCATCAATCCATTGCTGAATGAAGGCTGTTCTATGCCGTGTCAGACAGCTGGTTGATTTAACGAACCTTACCACACTAGTCAGTGTAGGTTGGTGAAGGAAAGGCCTAAGAATACTTGGTATAATTGGCCACTCATTTCAGCCGTGGCTGGGAATCAAACTCATACTGCAAAATTCATCTTCCAGTGTACAAACCGCAACATCACTACTCAATCACAAGCTCATTCTACAAGTAAATAAACTAATTGGCCTGTGGTCACACTACACCATATCATTTTTGCTGCCAGTTACACTGGTTTGATTTTCTGCTTTCATTTCTCCTCAAGTCAATAGGGAAGTTAACAGTTGAAGCACTCCTCTATATGTGGACTTTTTTATTTTAAGTTGTCATTATGATTTTCGTGGGTTTGCAGTTTATTGGGCTTCCTGTTTAAATTGGGATGTCTCTTTAACCCTTCCTGATTTGCCCCCCCCCCTAATTACTTAGGCCCAGCCCCCCTTTCTCTTAGGGCCCGTCTCCATCCTGTTTCGTTATTCAGACACAGGTTGGGCTTGTTTGGGTAGTGTCGACGGTTGTAAAAGGTCTACAAGTGTCCATGCACGGTAGCAGCATCTCGTGTATGTGGTACACAGTTAGGGCTGCAGCGACCAAAATCGCTCTCAGATAATAAATAATAAGATGACTAGAGTCCGATTATTCACATACACCAAACAATAATCGCGCATAATTACATGAGAAATTAGTGGGGTAGGAAGAGTGATGCTCTGGAGAAGGGCTATTGATGAATGTGTTGGGTATGGTAAAGTTTGATCAAACAACCACATTAACAGTGTAGCGAGGTCTTTATCCAGCAGTGGATTGACAAGGAGTTGTAAATCATTAACATTGTGAATGTATATTACTATTGGATGATGTTACTATACATATTATATAAAGAAATGCTGGCATATTATTAACATTACTAATGTTAATTTCTGAGAACTAACTGGAGCAAATATGCAAAATGTGTCTACATTTAGATATTTTAAGGAAAAACAACGAGATGCAATTTCCCAACTTGTGGAGTGGTTGTGGATTGCGGGGATTCACAGATATATGGATTGTGAATATTTATCTTTCTACTGCACATGTCATTATATACTTTATTCATATTATGTTTTTATTCTTATTTGTATTTGGCTTGTTTAGCCAGGAAAGCCTCCCTGGCTTGTTTCAGGAGAGCTCTGCCTCGTTTCTGAAGTAGGGGGCAATCAGTACACATGTTTAATCATGGTCCATACTCATTACTTTACATATGTAAGGGTCGATGTGATGTGTAACCTATTGACCATCTAATTATTGCGAGCCGCCTGACGAATTTAATGACTTTCCGTTTGAATACGGGGCGTTTCTGTGGCTAGATATTTAAACTTCAGCTCTAGCTCGTTAATTAGTAAGCAATTATTTTTCCACTCATTGTTATATTACTTGTGGTATTATATATTTATTATCACTATTATGCATATTTTACTGTCATTACTACAGATGGACACGCACCAACTCTGGATATAAACTCAGTCAATAACGATGTCCAGATATCCTCGGACCTCAGGACGGTCACGTGGACCAATGTCTCCCAGGGGCGTCCCCATCACCCACACCGGTTTGATTCATGGCCACAAGCCCTGTGCTCTGAGAGCTTCTCATCAGGCCAGCAATACTGGGAGGTGGATGTGGGGGGCTCGGGGTCTTGGCGGGTTGGAGTCGCCTACGAGACGACGCCACGGAAAGGGAGTAGTGAAGCCTGTTCCCTGGGAGGGAACAAAGAGTCTTGGAGTTTAAGAAAAAATAACAACAGATACTCAGTGCACCATGGAGGGGGACGGACCTCACTGTCAGTGCCGGAGCCTCCCCGGAGAGTTGGGGTTCATCTGGACTGGGACGCAGGGCTCCTGTCGTTTTACAGCGCCGACTCCATGGCTCTGTTACACTCGTTTCACCAAACCTTTGCTCAGTCTATCTATCTTGGGCTGGGAGTTTGGGGTAAGGATGGTAACGCAGTGACGATTGTGGATCTGAGCCATGTGTCTTGACCGAGAGGAATGTCGATGTGGAAACTATAAAAACCAGGACGGGTATAAACCCTATGAATAATCGCAGCCTTAGTTTACAGCTCAGGGCTAAAAACAGGCAGTGACCATAACGACACATGGGTTTGACCAGAATGCCCCTTTCACTTTTGATTGCTGTAACAAATTAAGTTGGTATTGGTATCTGGTGTTTCTGTCTTGGTTTCTTGGGTATCGGTTTGTTTCTTGGGTTTATTGTGATTAAAATAAATATTGTCGTTAAACCTTAGTCTTATTCTGTCCCTGCTATTGGTGTCATCATCCATTTTTTTAAATCTGAATTCTCAAGTGTAGGAAGTGGATTGTGTCAGCCCGATCACGAATCACTTAATTTGGCTAAATTCACTGACACTTTACTCATGGTATTGATGACATTGAATGACCACTCTATATATGGCTTATAAAATCTCTGCCCTGACTAAGGATGAAGAGGTAAAATTACATTTCCTTATGGATATATTTTCACAACAATATTCAATACAGCGTGGATTTGTTGAGCATCTTAATGTTTACGCATCTCAAGCTGCTGTGCAGAAATAGCCGACGTATATTTGTATACAACAAGCAGGCTTATATGGTAGGGAGTCAATTACATGGATGCGTGGGAATGAGGGCAGCAGAAGATAATATGATGCTCAGCAAATTTGGAATCTAACTGCGGGGGTAAAAAAAGAGTGTACTCATATGTAATATCATTATTTTCAATCAAATGAAAAGCATTGGTTTGCATTTTGCAATAAAAAAGAATGCATTAAAATAAATTGTCAAACTCACGTCCTCAGTTTTCAATAAGCTGTTGAGTATCCTGACTTAGTGGGTTGTCTGAAAAAAATTGTTACTTAAAGGACCCCATCAACAGACCTGGAAGTCAAGCAGATTTGAGGCCAGTCAGTACTTAGATGGGTGGCCACCAGAGCATTTTAAATTTTACATGCGTGGGGGGTTGTGAAATAAGTAATTAATCGAATTGTGTCTGTGTGGTTCATGTCTCCATTGCAACCAACATCCACATCAATCCCCTGTTGGCATTTAAAGCGGTAAAAATCGCAGTTGTACTATTTTACCATTAGATGGCAGCATAGGACAGCTCCACAGACACACTTAACACAAAGAGATGTTTAAATTGTGAAATATAACTATTACTATTTTTATTTTACCAGGTAAGGCTCACTGAGCTATATTGCTCTTTTTCAGAAGCCACCGGGCCATAAATGATGGCTAAACGAAGTGGCTTATCACGTGAAAATGCATAGCGGCCGAAAAATTCTAAACGCATGTTTCTAAATGCGGAGGGAAAAACCGGAGGATCCGAAGAAAAATCCACAGGACCACGGGGAGAACATGCAAACTCCAAATATACAGCAGACGTCAGGGTCGGGATCGAACCCACGACCTCCTGTATACCTGGCAAGGTAGCTAAAATCTTGCCACCGTGGTGCAACAATAACAACACTATCAGGAGCCCGCAGAACTGCGGTGAAAGGGTCACGAATAAGTACGTGTTATTGTGGGGGCCGACGTTCGCCCCACCACCCTCGCCGGGAAGGTGGGGTGCAACGTTTGCCCCCTCCACTCCCTCCTCCACCTCGTCGGTCGCCTCTCGCCGAGCCGAAAAAGGAGGGCATCTAGGGGTGGGGAGATGGACATGTTGGAGGGTAATAGTTTTACTGCCAGCACCGGTCCAGAGATGTAGCCTGAGTCACGAATTGTGAACAATTCCAGACATCGTTCGGAACCTAGCAGTGCCTGGAACTGTGTTGGTGCGTGCCACGTGAGGGCGCTGCTACTCCACTGCAGCGATTCGCGGGGCGCACTGAATAATTAACGTAGCAGCCTTCAGTCTTTGTTTCAGTGGAGCTGAGATAGCAATTATAATGGCTACGTTATTTAAAGTGTCAGGATACTCTTGAGCAAAGGGTAAGGTTTGACATATAATAACGAAATATTTCCTCGCCATGAAGAGACTTTAATTTTTCCTCTTTCATCAATCAATAAATCTTCACTTTACGTGCAAATATCCCCATCAATAAAGGAGTGATCAGTGCACATTGCAGCAGCACGGGAATTGTAGAGGGGCATAGAGCAACAGGAATGCAAAAAATAAACTCGTCACAACCTCAGCAGCTAACACCGATTGAGCGAAATAAAGTGCAACTGTGTGTAACGAATAGCATAAGAAAATAAATTAATTAATAAAATAAAGAATCCGTCAACAACTGTTTTTCCCCCCTTCTTAACTTGTGAATGTTACGGGAAAGCGAGTCTGAATAGTTGCGTCGAGTACGGACCACGGAGTTCAGAGACACTCGGCACGTTTCGGACATCCGGTGGCAGGGAGAAGGCTAGTCCCCCCCTCGGGTGAACAATCTTGGCACAGTTTGGATGAACTTATTTATTCGCACAAATGCTCCGCACCCATTGCATATCATATAAAGTATTGGGGAAATCACAATTATTGAGAATATATACTTTTTCATTAAAGAAACCACGAGTGACAGAAACCTCCAAATTTAGGCACTCGAGTTAAAATACAAAATTTAAGGAGTGTGCATACAATGAGGGAAAAAAGTATTTGATCCCCTGCTGATTTTTTACGTTTGCCCACTGACAAATATATTATCAGTCTATAATTTTAATGGTAGGTTAATTTGAACAGCGAGAGACAGAATAACAACAACTAAATCCAGAAAAAGGCATGTCAAAAATGTTATTAATTGATTTGCATTATAATGAGGGAAATAAGTAATTGACCCCTCTGCAAAACATGAGTTAATACTTGCTAGCAAAAACCCTTGTTGGCAATCACGGAGGTCAGACGTTTCTTGTAGTTGGCCACCAGGTTTGCATACATCTCAGGAGGGATTTTGTCCCACTCCTCTTTGCAGATCTTCTCCAAGTCATTAAGGTTTCGAGGCTGACGTTTGGCAACTCGAACCTTCAGCTCCCTCCACAGATTTTCTATAGGATTAAGGTCTGGAGACTGGCTAGACCACTCCAGGACCTTAATGTGCTTCTTCTTGAGCCACTCCTTTATTGCCTTTGCCGTGTGTTTTGGGTCATTGTCATGCTGGAATACCCATCCACGACCCATTTTCAATGCCCTGGCTGAGGGAAGGAGGTTCTCACCCAAGATTTGATGGAACATGGCCCCGTCCATAGTCCCTTTGATGCAGTGAAGTTGTCCTGTCACCTTAGCAGAAAAACACCCCCAAAGCATAATGTTTCCACCTCCATGTTTGACGGTGGGGATGGTGTTCTTGGGGTCATAGGCAGCATTCCTTCTCCTCCAAACACGGTAAGTTGAGTTGATGCCAAAGAGCTCCATTTTGGTCTCATCTGACCACAACACTTTGACCCAATTGTCCTCTGAATCATTCAGATGTTCATTGGCAAACTTCAGACGGGCATGTATATGTGCTTTCTTGAGCAGGGGGACCTTACGGGCGCTGCAGGATTTCAGTCCTTCACGGCGTAGTATGTTATAAATTGTTTTCTTGGTGACTATGGTCCCAGCTGCCTTGAGATCATTGACAAGATCCTCCCGTGTAGTTCTGGGCTGATTCCTCACCGTTCTCATGATCATTGCAACTCCACGAGGTGAGAACTTGCATGGAACCCCAGGCCGAGGGAGATTGACAGTTCTTTTGTGTTTCTTCCATTTGCGAATAATCGCACCAACTGTTGTCACCTTCTCACCAAGCTGCTTGGCAATTGTCTTGTAGCCCATTCCAGCCTTGTGTAGGTCTACAATCTTGTCCCTGAAATCCTTGGAGAGCTCTTTGGTCTTGGCCATGGTAGAGAGTTTGGAATCTGATTGATTGATTTCTTCTGTGGACAGATGTCTTTTATACAGGTAACAAGCTGAGATTAGGAGCACTCCCTTTGAGAGTGTGCTCCTAATCTCAGCTCGTTACCTGTGTAGTGGAGTAGATAATGCGCATAGGAATTGGCCATGTACAGTACATACAGACAAGGAGAACGGGTCACACGAGGTCGAACAGGTGGTCGAGTCGCAAGTGCCGTAAACAAACCCAAGTAATTAAGGGAGTCGTGGCACGAGGGCTGTGATTGGTCGAGAGGCTGTTAGTGTTAAGTGGTGGCGTAGGAATGTCTGATGAGGGGGACAGGTGCGGGCTGGCGGGAAACGGCCAGCGAGCCACGTGGCAATTAATTAAGGCTAATGCGAGAGGGGATAAAACACGAGGTGGTTTGAACGGAGGGGGGTTGCTGTTGGAGAGTTGCTGCTGGGAAGTTGTTGCTGGGCAGTTGTTGGCGAGAGGTGAAGAGATACAGAGAAGACAGCTGGAAAGGTTAGGGAAGAATAGATAAAGAGCCGGACCCCAAAGACAGTAAATAGCGATAGGGAGAGTCAGCGTTAGCGGAGATAGATAGAGTCACTGTGTGTGAATAGATGGAAGTCACTGGGTGTGAAGAGATAGCGGCGATACTGTGTGTGAGGAGATAGAAGACGAACCACTGTTTGTGGAAGAGATAGGCGAAGAAACACTGTGTGTGGAAGGGGATGCACGGACGATGCTGAAGTAAATCGGAGTGTCCGAGTTGGCGGAGCACGGAGAGAATTACTGTGTGTACGGAACGATGGAATAAAAGTGACGGCGGAAAAAGAGCCGGTTGTCGTCCGAGTGAATTCACGGCACTACATTTGGTGTCAGAAAAAGTACAGAACACGCCACGATGTCAAGGAAAGCGGCAAAGAAAATAAATGTGCCAGTGGACTCGGGCGGCGACATCGACAACGACGATTTGCAGCCCGGCCAGATGGCCGGCAGTACTCCGGACGGTGACAGCGGTTCGGGTGGTGCTGAAGACCCGGGATCGCCGGAGGATTGGCGACTCCTCATGACCCAGTGGGAGGCCAGAATGGAGAAGTTGTCGGAGGAATTCCAGAACTTCTTGACGGAGAACCGCATTCAACTACCCGTACCGGGTCCACCGCCGGAGGTTGCCGCTCAGCCGGAGCGGTTGGAAGAATCTAACGACGAAGACGACCAATCGGAGGGACCGCCACGACGGCTAGACATACAACAATTTGAGGCCAAGGTGGGAGATTGGACGGCATTCATACGAAGATTCCGTGCGGCTTACGAGTCCCTGAAGTGGACGGAGAGTGCCGCGTTACGAGCACTGCCGACGGCATTGGATGATGACTCCTTGGCGACTTTTAACGTTCTCCCTGCCGCTGTCAGAAAAATATTGGACGGTGCTATTGCGGCAATGAGGAAGGTCTACGAGCCGCGGTCGGTCGCCAAACGTCGATTTCAACAGAGGAAACGAGAGGCCACGCAGTCCCCCCTGGCATTTCGCAGCGCCTTGCTGGCCCTCGCCCAGGTTGCGTACCCGGCGATGGACGAGGAGGGCTGGGACTCCCTGCTGCAGAAGAAGATGTTACAGCTGGCAAAGGAACTGAAAGTCGTCTTGTCGCTCCCGGACAAGGATGATGACGACGACGTGTCATCGTTGCTGATCGCCAGGAACATACAAGTCAACCTTGATATACAAGATGAACCAGTGGCGGTGGTAGCGCAGCCGTCGCTGACCAACCCTGCCGGGGCTGCGAGCACGGTGGCGGTGGTGGTGGACGAGGCGCCGCCGATGGCAGCGGCGACCGGAGTGTTGACCGGAGACCGACGGCGTCGTCCCGGGGCATATGGAGACGGCGTGCATCAGACATACTACGAGTGCGGGCGGAGGAGTCATCTCGCCCGCGACTGCTGGAGACGAAGAGGTGGTCCTCCGTGGTCGCCAAACTACTACGGCGGGCAGTTCCCCCAAGACCAAGGATCCCGGGTGAGTCGAGATGCATTCAATACACGGCCGCCCTATCCACATCACTCATCCGCATCATCTCGACCGTATTCATCGGGTTCGGATAGTACGCATAGCCGGGATATGTGGGGCGTGTTGGTACATCGTGTGTTGGGGGCCGCGCCGGGATCGTCGGATGTGATGGCATGTATTCAAGGTGTTATGGTACGGGTTATTGTGGATACCGGGGCGTCGGCAACTCTCATTTCTTTGCAAACTTTTCGGTCGCTGCCGAAGTCGCCTGGATCGTTAGCGCCAGTGGAAGGGCCATGTGTAGCGGCAAACGGGGGTAGTTTGGGCATTATGGGCTGCATGGTTGCGACAATTCAAATTGGGGAGGTTA